ACCGCTGGGTGTCATGCTGGAGAGCAGGCGGGAGGGCTGCAGGCATGTCTCCGATCCCACCTTTCCCCCAGCCCGCTGCAGGAGGGCTGTAGGGCTGGTGGGCACCCCATGACATGCTCTGGCCTTGCTCTTGCAGGGATCTGCCTACGAGGTCGGATCGAGATCAGTGAGCGGGACATTACTGGGAGGTGCTCTTCATCTTGCAGCAGCCAGGCCCACCTCGGAGCTTTCCTCAATCGTGGCTGCATCAAGATCTCAGGCTGTATCACCAAGCACTCGGGCTGGGCCCGCTGGTTCCTGCGCTGTGACGTCTGCGAGTGCGACTGCCACGTCCCATGCGGTGAGTCCTGGTAGTGGCTGCCCACCTTTGGTAAGGGCCTGTCTCACTGTTTTGAGGGAAGGGTTGATGCTGAGAGCTGGAGGCTGCCAAACAGTTCAAAATCTGCTGCTCTCGCTCTCCCTACAGCCTCCTCTGGGTAGAGCTGGGCTGTCCGGCACTGTGGCCACTGGCCCCACACCGAGGGATGCTTCCACCCTGGATGTCGTCTTCCCTTTGCCACGTGTCTCCATCGCTGTACTCCTTCCATAAGCTCCATCTGTCCCAAGGCTGTCATCTGAGAGGAGAGACGGACTCACTCTCTCACAGGGCTGCCTTCCTGCCTGACCCCATCCTGTGATGCTCCAGTGGCAGGGGATGCTCTGTGAGCAGCAGGCGCTGGGGACCTGCATGTATTTCCTGCAGCTGGCCTCGAGGACGTTGGTGTCTCGGCCTCTGTTTGCCTGGCTGCTTCACAGAGGAGGCTTATATTCCCTTTCAGGGGAGAGGTAGCCTGTGTGCTTGTGCCTGTTGCAGAAGTATCTATCCCATCTGTGCTGCAGGTTATGATTTCTCCCTGCCAGGTATTTGCTGCACATGGGCCAGGCCCTGGGCTGAGAGGTAGATCTGCCCTCTGTGCTTGCTGCAGCTGTCGGGCAGAGCTGGAGTGTGGGATCTGCCCACTATCCCCATGACATAGGCCTGTTAGCCTGTGCATGGCGGCTATTAATGCGGCCCTTAGCAGGAGCAGCCGTCATGGGCACTGCTGTAACCCTGTGCCATGCCACCTCTCTTCTCAGGAGTGGGTTTCTGACCAGGCTCCCTTCCCTAAACTCTTCGTTCTCCCTACTGGCCCTTCACTTCTCGCTGGAGCCATGCTCGGTGGTTTGCATTCATGCTGACTCTGGTACCCAGCTCCAGCTGGGAACAGCCTTATGCTCCCTGGGGACCACCCTGGCTCCCTCTGAAGCAGCAATGGAAAAGCCAGAAATTTTATTTCC